TGCATGGCCTCGACTTCTGTGTTATGGAAAGCATGGAGGGCAAGATGCTGCACTTTGCTGTAATCCTGATCATAAAAAGAAAATATAAAGGCATGAATAACAGTGAGATGACACACCGGTTTAGACTTGTGTCAGTATTTCAAAGGACAACAGATGAACGATTACCTTTTTGAAGAAGAAGTGGTTGGCTAAGTGGTTGAGCACCATGGGGTTGCTGGGGTCGATGGTGTAGGCCCTGGACAGGAGCTGCACGCCATTCTTGATGGAGTCTGCCTCTTTGTTATTGAGCTCTAAAACAGCCAAACCTACAAGGGCTCCCACGCACTTTGAATTAAGCTCAAGGGCTCGACCGAAAGCCAGACGAGCCTTCTCCAATTTGTTGAGCTTGACAAAACAGTGGCCCATCCCCAGCCTTACCTCAGCTGATCAGACAGGAGCACAAGATAGAAGACACGAGGAATTACCTGTAACATCTCTTTGTAGAAACAATGCTATATTAACTGTAGCTGCAAACACAGCCCAACCGATATGTCAGCCAATATTTACTTCTCATAGATATTTGGGTGTCAACACCAATGTTGGTACATAAATGATCAATTCAAAGGTGAAGTAGCTAAACTATTATCCGATCAACAGCAAACTAACTTAATTATTTTTGACTGATTTGCTGCTTTTCTCCATTTACTCTGTAAAATTGTTACGTTGGTTATTTGAGGAAGTGAATATCAAACTGAAAACATTTGCTGGTCAGTTTTTCCACCTTTTCTGAAATTTTATAGACTAAATTCTAAAAAATTAAACAGACTGACCAGTAATGAAAATTGTTTTTACCTGTAGTCAAACATTTATACCTTTATTTCATTTGAGTTAAATAACTGCGGATATTACAATAATTAAATTTAATTTACAGCTAACTTTACTGCTCATAAATTACTTCTAACTTTAAGTAAACATTATTGCTCAACTGTAAAATATTATGACCTACATAGAAATCTTTGACATCTCTTTATATCCAAATCTGAGCTTTGTTGAAATTGTTTATGTTGTGTTTTGGTTAAAACAACTATAAATGATTATTTTTTAATGTTTGATGTCAGCCCAAAATCTTGTATTGACCAGGCACTGGTAGTAGCAGCAGTAGTATTCATCACCGTAGCAGTAGTAGTGACACAGGCATGTGTTTTCAAGGCAATACATGTACTGTAACTTGTTTACCTGGGCAGCCAGGGTTGGTACGTAGAGCCTTTTTGTAGTAAGCCAGTGCTCCTCTGTAATCCTTTTTATTGAAGGAGATGCAAGCCTTACCTGTTTAACAACAATGGTGTGATTAGTTAAATCAATCCCAAAGCGCAAGATGAATCGTAGTTTCTTCCTTATCCAACTTGCCAAGCAAAGCAGGGATGTTATTGGTGGACTGGTTGAGAACAAAGTGGAACTGAGCGTCGGCCTGGTCCATTTTGTCACCTTCCAGCAGGCAGAAACAGGCTCTTCCCAACAAATGGTTCTGATTGACACAGCAGCATGATACATTTACTTAAAATGTAAAATTACTGGAGCCACAGCTGTTTCTGAAAGACATTTTCTTACCTGATCATACATGATGATTTTGTCTGCCATAGTATAGAGCAAAGTGGCCTGTGTGATGAGCTCTTTCTTGGCATCTTTGTTTTTCTCTTTACGTGCTTGCTGGACATAGTAAGCTGCCAGTGTATCCAGACAGGTCATTTGGTCCTTCTCGTGGTCTCTGTAGTCAAGGTTTCCGTCAATACGAGCTGCCTCTAAAAGCTTGACAAAATCTTCTGTTTTGCCCTGCTTGTAGTACTCCAACTGATAAAGACAGAGTGCAAACTGTTACAATGGGACATGTGGGTGAAATTTAACATCTCTTTACATAAATCAAGTTTGATATCTGGGTTGTGTTCAACTTTTCATCAAGCTAACATTCTACATTACAATAATAAATGTAACAACAGTCAGTAGAGCACCACTTTCTCACCGCCAAAGCGATCCATATGTGCAGCTGTGTATGTTCCTGCTTCAGGATACTGATGACCTCATCTCCCTCTGGCAGCTGGTCAAAGTCAAGCTCAATAACCTGAAAGATGCAAAGTCATTCAGCAACAATGTCTTACAATCCATAATCTCTGTATCATATGAGGGCATTATGAATGAAGGTTAGGCAATATAATAATGCATTCTCTGAGACAATATCAATTTGTAAACTGTCACAGTTTTTACCATTTAAACTGTCATAGCTCTCTCTCTTAGGCCATTATGTGTGGCAAATCAATGTGCACAACTGTGTTATTGCACTAGTTTTAAATGGCTTCTGCATCAGCACAATAAAAGTGCCTTGCTTTGTCAAGTACTTAATTTACTGGATTAGCCAAAATGGACATAATCCTGTCTCTTTTTTTAAATCCAGTAACTGTTCTCCATTGATCTCACAAAAAACATACATTTATACACTCAACTACTAGTTAATTAGGTACACTCAACTTATTATGCAGTCTAATACCTCAGCCCTGGTACAACAAATCCTACAGTACCTTACCTCAGTGTTTACTGCAGCTGTTTGGTTTATTCAATTTTATAGTCATTTTAGAGGCTGTAGTGTTACTGAATTGTGTTGTGTTACGCTGAGAGATGTTTCTAATATTCTGGCCACACTGTTTATAGTATATCAGTAAAACAATACAACTCAACAGCATGAAAAACTACAGCCTGGGAGGTGAGTTTACTAATATTATGATGACATTATACAGTACTGTGCAATGGTTTTAGGTACTTCAGATGATCAGAATTTTTAGCCATCACACAACCTAATCAGGGAGGATTCTTCTCCCAAATTCATTCTGCAGTGGGATAATAGCCCAAAACATACATGGCATTGTTTTTGAAAGCATCCTCACTTTACTTTTAGTACCTAAATCTTTTGCAGGGTACTAAATATACTGTGGCAGAGATTTTATTCACCTCAAAAACTGCTATTAATAAATAACGTTAAACTGTTTAAATGTGTGTGATACAGTTTTAACTTTAAATAAATCTGTAACCAATGCTCTTGTAGCTTAAAATAATATAATGTTAGATATGATTTTATAAAGAGATCTCTATATCGGCTGGGGTTATTAAGGATTGATTGACGGCAATGAGCGCAAACATTACAATAACTGACCTACTAACTTCCACCAGAGCTCATATTGTTCTGGACATACTGATCCAGGCATTGCTGGCATGCAGTTTTGGGTCGACCTGCAAATATCTAAATAACAAAATATGCCGCTGTGATGTACAGATCATTGGCTAATGCTATCTTATGTTAGCATAAACGGCTAGTAGAACAGCGGAGCTCAGATAGTGAAACATCCCCAAAAATATTAAGTTTGCACATGAAACAAGTTTTACCTCATCTGTGTCCCGTAAAGGGATCTCGATAGAGCCCCGAGACATTTTGATTGGGGGTAAATCCACCTAAAGTTAGCGATTTAGAAAGCATACAAAATCTCAAGTCCGCCGTCTGTACTTCCGGTAGGAAACAAAAAAACGGACTGTGCCACATAAATTATGTCCGGTCACATTAATGAACGCTCTACACTTAGGTTCCTCCTCCTTGAACGCGCGAAGGAAACGAAGTTGAACACAGAAGCTGTGGAGGAAGTGCTCAGGTCCTTTACTAGTAGCACTACGTAAAGTACTCAATTGTCTGCAATTGGACGATTTGATTTATTATAAGCCCCTGGTTTTATGTTTTAATTAATTTATTTTATTTTATTATTATTTTTTGTTCTCTCTCTCTCTCTCTCTTCAATTTATTACTTTGTTCTGTTCCGTTATTAAGGTGTGTGATTTATTGCTCAATTCTTAATGGGTTCTGTAGACAATTTTACTTACTTGCCTTGTATGTTTGTAAATATGATGTTCAATTAAAAAAATAAAAAATACGTAAAGTACTAATATGTAAAAAATACCCCAGTATACTCCAAATTCAAGCCCTGCTTAAGTAACGTTACTTAAGGTAGATGTGTAAGTATTAAAAGTGTGCAAGGCAGAAAAATTGCTTTGTCACTGTTGTGCGAGCATAGATTATTATCACTCATGATTTAATGTGGAAGCCGCATTTTACCGTCATATTGACTGAGCTAATTTTTAACTATAAATGAGACTGCAATTTAATGATAAATCTGCAGATTGTTTTCTTAATTAATCAACTGTTTACAGCATAAGATCAGAAGACTAAGAGAACTACCCATTACAGTCACCTAGAGCCCAGTGTGACTCCCTCACGCCGATTAAGCCAAATTGTTAAGAATACCTGAAAATGATTTAAAAGGTTAAAAAGCCAGGTAGCTGAAATCATGGTATTTTAGGCAGTTTTGAGTAAACAAGAAAATGGTTGCTGATTAATTTTGGCAGTCAACTAATCAGTATACGACTAAACGCTGTGGGTTAGTCCGATTTATAACGAACATTTATCATATTTTATAAGCACATTTTGCATTTTATCTGCAAAACTCTAAATCTTGTAAAGCCAGTGGCAAACAAATGTGCAGTAAAGTATAATAATATTTAGACACTGATAGATACAATTTTCTCTAGCAGACTTACAGTAGCATCTTTAAGGCAGTGAGAATAATTTCCTTTGCCACACACTGACTGCCACAGGGCATTTACTCCCTTCATTTGCTAAATTCAAAGAAATGCTTGACAGACTGTGCATTTGATATGTTAAACTGGTGAATTTTAAATTGAAATCCATTAACTGCATCATTGTCACAGACCTCTGCGGGGCAGCATTTTGGCAGAAGTGGGATGAGGTGGAGGGTGATGTGAAAGGAGGGGTGAGGAGAGAGAGCTGGAGGATGTCAGCTGGTTTTGATGTGAATCAGTGAAAACAAGCATAAGAGCATCTTGAAGACTTCTTGTGCTCACATCACAGAAAATCAGAGGAGGACAAGAAAAATACTAATGATAATGAAGCTCCTAATGTAACACTTGATGACACTGTTTTCTTTTCAGAAGAACTGTCCAGGACTGAGAAGAAAGAATTTATTTGTTTCTCTTTAAAATATCAGGTCATGTAGGATTGAGACTCTCCAGGGATTCAGGAGAAACGAGCACAATGTCTGACAGCCACGATGGTAAGATTTGCAGTTGCTTTGTTATTTTATCAACACATCAAATAAATATTCATTTGTTTTACATGTATCCTTCCTGTATGTGAATGTGCTTGTAACTTTTGTTCATCTCTTCATGTGAAGTTTGGGAATCACCAGGTTGTGGGACGAGGGACGTGCTTGAGGACAATAAAGACACCAGTGGATTTTCTGAACATGAACTCCTTGATATCATGTATAATGCATGTCATACCTCAAACTCAGGTACAGAGCTTCTGTTGTATTTAACAAGATAAAAAGAATCATAGATAATGTTTAATCACTTATTCCTGCTTCGCTCTTGTCTTCAGGAGCAGTGTTGGCCTCCACTCTCATGCAGTATCTGCAGACCATGACTGCTCAGAGTCCAGAGCAGGACCAACTAGCTTCCCTGCAGCGGCTGTTTGACCCTGACTCTGAGGACCCCTATGTGAGCAGAGACACTTTCCACGCCACCATGAAAGAGTGGATTGCCCAGTGCAGCCAGGACAGGTGGAAAAACCCTGTACTAGAGGAATCTCACTCCTTTTATTAACCCGCCTTTTCAATGAGCTGTGTATGACAGTACTCACTGACTCTTTCTGTTTCAGCGCTGATGTGGATGGCAGTCATGTATCTTGGCCAGACGCTTCTAAAGTGGCTGTAAATGGTAGGTTGTCACTGTTCTGTTCAGACTTCTGAGAAATGTTTGAATCACATAAGCAGCAATTCATTAAACCTGAGTTCCTTTCAGGGCTAGATCTCTCATGTTCTCAAAGCAAAGCAGCTTCTTCAGAAAGCCACCAGTGCTCCTGGTTAGTTATTTCACTCCTTTGGTCTCTGCATGTGTTTAGCTCCTTTAATCAGTTTGTTGTCACACTTCACCAACTGTTTGTTTGGCTTTAGTGATGGAAAAGACCTGTTAGGCACAGTGGCTGAACTGAAGCACGCTCACCGCATGCTGAGTGAGCAGAACAGCAGCCTGCTCAGGACGGTGGTTCAGTGTGAAGACATAAACCTGCAGCTCACTCTGGAGATCACCGAGCTGCAAGCAAAGCTGGCAAGGTGAAGGATTAAAAGAATGAAAAGGCATTCTCCAAAGTAGCTGATTAAAATAAAAGTTGAGTGTGAAAATTGTGTTTAAGCTCACCAAGAAATGTGTCTTCAAAGATCATTAAACTTCACCAGCTGAAGTTATCACACCTAGCTACCAGCAGAATTAGTATGAAATAAATTAAATAAGATTTTTCTACTATTAATATGGCCACTTTTAACATCACAAATTCAATACTGAACACTTAAACCAGTGTCTTTGCCTGGTTGTTGCACCATTTGTGTCCGTATTTAAAGACATAGTAAATTAATGTGTCTAGGACAGATTATGAGAAAATGGGCCCCTGGGCTCAAACAAGCAAAAGGCCCCCACCTCTCCTCTATAGGACCCCTTGATTTAAAGTGGCCTATATGGTCTCTTTGTGTTAGTTTTCCTTTTTTTGTGGTATTTGTATGTCTTTTAAATGAGCTCTGTGACTTTCAAATAATATTAACAGTTGGAGGCTCTGGACCAGGGGCCCCATGGCCTTTCGGCCCCCTGGGCCTATGCTCAGGAGTCCCATTCAGCAATTCATACATGAAGGTGCAAATTAAATACAGAAATGTGTTTTGTGTGCATAGCTCTGGAGTTTTTTAACTTAAATATCAGTCACGTAATAAACATTATTATTAAGTATTATTATTATTTATTCATTGGTAACATTCATTCCTGACCTGACTCGTACTTCCTTCCAATCAATATTTTTTTAAGAGTCAGACCAAAAGAATACTATGAGTACAATGTAGAGAAGATTTTCTTTGTACAGAAAACTCAGGTAATGGGACTTTACCATCTCTTTTCCATTAGACAATAGTCATTGAATAAAATCTCTGTTCTTACTCTTTCTCCATTTTGGATATGAGTAGAGGTGGGACCTGTTGAATAAATGAGAAAGCTGTTATGGTTTTTAAATTTGTTTGGTGTGCGCAGTGCTGAACAGTCAGCAATGAGAGCCAGATCTCTGACAGAAGACCTGGAGGAGACCCGCCGGGCATTTAAAGAGGCCCAGGAGAGAGCCAGTCACTCCCAGAGCAGCTTCACCAAACTGGTACATCACACACTGAATGGACTCTCAATGAAGCTATACCTTTTAAGTTTGATTTATTTGTTATGGAATCCTGTTTACATGTAAATCTTTATTGGTCCTCAGAGCAATGAGGTTGAATGCCTGAAGGTGCACATTAGGAGGCTTGAAGACAAGGTAGTGTAGATATAAATGCATGCACTTTCTTTTACAAAACTAAAGCTCGTTATGTAATAAAATGTTCTTGTGCTTGCACAGAATGAAAAGCTCGTCTTTCAAAGGACATGTTCTGAAGAGAGCATCACCAAACTCAGGAAGGTTAATGCTGAGCTGAAGGTAGGAACAGATCAGTAAACCGCTTTTGTATTTGTCTGTGTTATGACTTTGAATTGGTGGTTAAACATTTAAACGTTCACAGGCCGAACTTCAGGAAACCCTGGTTTTGCTGACACTGAGAGATGAAGCGATCACAAAGGTTGGTCTATATGTTCATGAGGAAAACTGTCAGGTCGCATTTTTATTTTGTCTTTTAACTTCACTTACAAATGTTCCTGTACAGAAAGACATTCTTATGGATAAGATGAAGAACTCTCATGTGGAGAATCACAACATGATTGAGGTATGTTTGACACAGTGTCAGGGAAGGAAGCTTTGGTAGGATGCCATTATATCTCATATAAGGTCATGCGAAAGCAAGTATGGCCACATTACATCATGTTAAAGTATGAAAAGAAAGTTTCAAATTCAGTGTATGGCAACACATATCAGGCACAGGAATCAGTCTCGTCATTTCAGAATATGTAACAAGAAGACTGATGATTTTAATTATGTCTTGCATGTGTTTAAGGGTAAATTGCATTCAGTGGTTCTAAATGTACATTTTGGCTGCACATTAACTCTGTTCTGGTGTTGTAGGGTCTGCAGTCTGAGCTAATGAAGTTACAGGAACATTCACACCAAGTTCTTTTGAGGTATTATTAACAATAATTTAATAATTTTAAGTGGCACTTTAGTCCGATGATGGTGGTATGATTATTCTTAGAAGGCTTGATCTACTGTGGTTTGGATTCTACCTAATTTGCACACCACTTTTAAAAAAGGTGTTGACCAAATGAACAAATGCAAATAAAAATGTTTAAATTCGAATCAGTTTTTTGACAAAATTGTTTATTTAAATGCTCCTTCAGCAATTTAATGTTGTACTTCCATAATGTTGAGGGACTCACAAGACAGGTTAAAAAAGCAGCATTGATATCCTGACATTAGTATGGATCAAACTTTAAAAACACTGGATCCTACATTCGCCTCCTATTGTTTCAAACCATGCACCTCCAGTTTTATAGTACAGGGTTTGTTAAAAATATTTTTGATGTCAAATCTGGTGGAGGGATGTGTCAGCTGTCATAATTTTACAAGAAAGTTTAATATTTGAAAGAAGTTTTTTGGGCTATTTAAAAACAAAGAGCTGCAAGTTAATGTGAGAAGTAACTATCATTTACCTGAACAAACCTGTGAATGAACTGCACAAATAATTTAAAGTTCTGAAGTCTGATTTCCTCTGCTGGTGTCTGACAGGTATGACAGATACTGTGTCAGTCCTCAGAGTCTCTACAGTCGAGATCCCCCAAACCACTGCTCTCTGCAGAGCGAGATACAGGATATGCAGCAGGTAGGAAATGCTTGCTGTCCACAGGTTGTCTTTTAAGCTGTTTTGTGTTGACCATGTTATTGCTCTGCCTTCTTTCTGTGCAGCAGCATCACAGAGCTCTGGGCGACATTAGCCTCCCATCACTTCACCCACACAGCGATGATATTCAGAGCATCATCCAGAGGATCAAGAGTGCAGAAATAGCTAATTTTGTGCACAGTAACTATCCTGAGAGGGTGAGGAGGAAGTATACACACAAAAGAACAAAATGATCATTACATGCAGTAACATGTACATGTATAATTCTGTCATGTCTCTCTCTCTCTCTCATACACAGGAATCTGCTCCTGTAGAAACACAGGAGAGGCTTTTTCCTCACTGCCAGCAGCAACAGGCAAGCATCAAGCAGCAGCTTGTCAATGTGTATGTGAGGGTTTTTTTAACCTCTCTTTGTCCTGTTATGGTAACAGACTGGATTTGGTCAATGTTAGTCTTTGTTCTTAGAAGTTTTCTCCAGCTAATAAAATGGCTGCCTCGATTTGACAGTGTATTTATGGGCATCTACATTATACAGCTCATAGGAGTCCCCGTGTTGTCTGTGTAAAACTCTATCAGGGATAAATGCAGTTTTAGTACCCCCTGGTAACTAAAGACATGACAGTGTGTAAAAGAGATGTTTATAAAGCTGTGGTGGCGATTTCAGGCTGCAGGAGCTGGAGCTGCACAAGTGTGTGTGGGAGGAGGCAGGCGAAAAGGTGGAGGAACGGTGGAGAGCGTGCGAGAAGGAGCAAAAGCAAAGCCAGACTCAGATCCAGGAGGCCAAAAAGGTGGCTGTGGTGAACTGGTGGAAAGCCCTCAGTGTGGAGAGGGCTCAGGCTCAGAAAAAAGAAACCCGGTCAATCCAGGATCTTTCTGAGACTCAAGCAAAGCTCCAGCCAGCAGAGCAGGTGATCTCTGATATGAGGGGGCAGGCCTGCCACCTGTCACCCTCTCTAAGATCTGCACAGCAGTGTGTCACTGAGCAAAAAAACAGTAGTAGAGTTGATCATATTGAAACGGGGACCAACACTGAGAGAGAAGAATCAGATGGAACGGTGAGGAAGGTGGTGAAGGATCAACGGGATGCAGCGGTGGCCACAGAGACTGCAGGTGGAGCAACCTCAGAGCAGGAACAAACACAGCTTCAGGTGACTGTAGATGGACTTCTGGTGACCCTCAGAAGAATGGAGGCGATGGTCAACAGCGCCCTGGGGACGGCCGAGCTGGTGAGAGAGAGCGAGCAGAGGGTGAGCCGAGTGAGACTGAGGATGGAGAGCATCACCCAGAGGGTGGAGGAGGCTCTGGGTCGAGCAGCCAGTGCAGACAAGCAGTTGAATGTCCTGGAGACCAGGATCACAAAAAAAGCTCCAGCTCAGGTTTGTCTGTGCTAGAAGTCTTTGTGTGCTTTACATTAGAGTAAGAGTGAAAAAAAAGTTTATTAATACTCTTGATTTTGAAAGGTCACTGTCCCTGTCAAGTAGGTTCATATATAGCAAAGATGCTCATTAGATTAGGCCTTTATTAAACTAGAACCCATATAGAACAATGTGAGAAAAACTACCATCAAATTATAAAACCATATCATTTAAAATCTAATGTATTATTTTCATTGTCCAGTCCAGTCTGCATTTGAAAACATGAATACCAGGAATTGACATTTCAAATTTAAACTCAGCTCATGTAGAGCTCATGCTACTCTAATGGGAACAAAAACTGCTAAAGTAAATCATACTGATATCAATTGTTTTAAGTTGAGATTATCACATTTGTTACTTTCTTGTAACAAAAATATAAAAATGTGGTTTCTGAGCTGCAAAACCTGAAAAAAAGAATGCTTGTATACGATAGATTTTTCACTTACAAATCTTTTTGACATCATGAATTAATCAATATTGCCTTTGTGAAACACAAAGTCCTTCAAAAAGTCACATTACTATAAACTTAGGGGGAAGAGATTTAACAAGATGTAATGTCTACTTTACACTCCTCATCATAGGATGTATATTTCTGAGTTGTGAGCTGCCTCATTTTCCTTATCAGGCTGTTTATGTGTGTTATTAGTAGAGGCCTGAAGAGCTAAAACTATGCAGCATATAGCAAAAAAATGCCAAAACATAAACATAATCCTGTGTAGCAGGATTCAAATTTCCTTATTTCCATGTTTCCTACTTCTGATTTTTTTATTTCCTGAGATGGTACCAATGTCATGACTCCTTTGAATCAACTGATGATCCTTTGACTGTATTTTTTTTTACATAACATTGAAGTCAGACTCTCCTATATCATACGGTGTGTAAGGTACTAATATCTGTTTTTTCTCTCTGTATTTTTTGAAGCCTCCAGGTTGCAGTCTGCCAGCTGGTCCTAGACCAGATGCCACAGGCTTTAGGGTTGAATGTGATGTGGAGCCTGAAGACAAAGACAAAATGGAGAGTCCTCCACAGCTGCCTGTGAATGGTATGATGGCCGCATTACAGAAATACACCTTCAGTGTTATTGTGGTTGTGGGGTACACTATGACACAGATGAATTAAAACTACTTCCTTTTCTAATGGTAATCCCTGAGGATGTCTGAAAAGATACTGTGCAGATATTTACATTGCACACACAACAGTTGGTATGGCAAGGAGGAAGAGAGAATAAGCTCTTAGGGAGTGTAAGTTATTTATCAAAAGGGTCCAGGGGGAAAATTAGAAGAGGTCAGAAGGGTCAGGTATTTTTTTTGTCTACATTCCATTTTAATTGACAGGACTTTTATACACTGACAGATCAGGGGTAATTTAACCCCTTTTACATTTTATGTTTGATCTGTTCTGAAGAGCTTTGAGCATGTTTATATGAAGACGGCGAGAAATCTAAGGTCTGTAGCTCACAGAGTACACAATGCAGGCTTTTAGCTTTTAACAAAAGCAGAACAATTGTAATGTGAATAAAAGAATAAACACTCTTCAAAAGAAAAGACAAGGCTTTTAGCACATTTATAGTGACTGCCATTAAATAAATAGTTCGTTTTATGAAACTGTTATTCACTTCCTTGCTGAGAGTTTGTTTAGAAGATTGCTGTCACTCTCATAGCTAAACCGCCAGTATGAAGCTACAGACGGCTCAGATCCACCTACCAGCACCTTGAAGGGTCACATAGTATGTTATATCTTGTTTGTTTAATATTTAGTGTATAAATGAACAGGTGATATGAGCTGGACTATTTCTTGGAACAATGACTTTTTTGAGTATTTCTTTGGTTATATATAGAAAATACTTTAGTGCTGGTTGTTACCGTCAGGCTAGTTGTTTCCCCCTGTTTCCAGTCTTTATGCTAAGCTAAGCTAACCAGGCTGTAAAGAGCCATGAGTGGTAATGATCTTCTCATGTCTCAACCAGAAAGTGTTTGAATATATGTTTAAGATCAAATGTGGCTTTCCTGTAAGAAATAAACATCCATCTATCCGTTATCTATACTGCTCATCCTAAGCATGGGGGCTGACATTGGGCAAGAGGCAGACTATACCCCGGAAAGGTCGGAAATAAACATTGACTTTTGTTTTATTACTTCTTGCTACAAAAAGAGTAAATAGTAAATGGACTGTATTTATATAGCGCATTTTTCCACAGTGTGTTGCACTGGCCAAAGCACTTTACAGGAAATGATACACCATTCACACACCCATGATGACAGGCTGCCACACAATGGCGCTAGTCAAGCCACCGGGAGCAATTCAGGGTTCAGTGTCTTGCTCAGGGACACTTAGGCATGCGGGGAGACCGGGAGTTGAACCACCAACTTGCTGGTCAGGAGATGACTGCCCTACCTCGTGAGCCACAGCACAGCAAAAGAGGGAAAACACAAACGTATTCCTGTTGCAAACTGTTACTGAGGCTTTAATATGCTGACATTCCTGAAAGCTGCTGCATGTGCACTGATCATTTTGCCATTTCATCACATATTTTCCAATATTATTCATGTTGCAATAAATATGTTTGTCTTCCAACCCTTCAGGAAAGGTCATGGCAAATATTTCCACATTTTCCTTCCCCAAGAAGGAGTCCATTGATGACTCAGATGACCAAGTCCTATATTTGTCTATTTGTGATGTAGAGGGGAGTTTGGAGCCTATTGAGAGCTAGTGAGCAGCCTCACAGGGGAAATGACATTGTAAATGAAGAGACGGTAGTCATCTCTATACATGTTTGTTTATTTTGTAACTTTCTAAAGCTTACCTTGTCCAGTGCCATATTGAGGTAGACACTTTATTGCTTAGCAAATGAATCTGCAGCGGGATAAACATTTTTTTGTCAGATATTACTGTCATAAAACCTGATATGTGCACTGCCAGGTTGCAGCTCAAAACAGCTTGGGTCCCTCAAGATGTGGCGTGTGTATAATACAACCCAGGCTTAATCTTATTTGGAGTTTGGAAATTTTAGCGTGTGTGTGTGTGTGTGTGATAGAACTTAGAAAAGCCACGGTAACTTTTAGGATTAAAGTTCTTTCCACCCCATAACAGTGGTCCTTAAGGCACAGGGCTGTAGATCCTGAGCTGCAATGCTGTCAACAGTACAGTCCTTCCATTAAAGCTATTAAGGCAAATCCCTGTAACATTACAAAGGAATAAAACGTGTAGGTTTTATGTTGCTGTTTAAAAGAAGACACAGTCAAACTGAATGTACTGTAAGTAAGTTAGAGAAGCATCGCTTTAATGGCAAATATAAAAATTTGAAAAAGTGCAAATACCAAAATCTCTGCAGCTGGAATGTGAATTAAGTTGTGGTTAGGCTGATGGCTTCCAGAGCAAGAGAGACTGATCTACGGAGGGAAACAAGTGAAAACATTAGGTTAAATGTGGACAAAAATGATTAAGTTAACACACCTGCCTACAAGCATCTGCTTTTGGCTTCACCCCCGTCATGCCATGTGCTGCTTCATACTGATTTGTGCATTGATTTATGAAGTAAAGTCTGGCAGTGAAATGTTGTATTAAACAGGTAGTTCAGAGTCTGATATGTTAAAATTCTTGGATGTGTTGCCACAGAAGAAACATAAAGGCAGCCAAGTGTTGTTTTTTTTTATTTGTATATTCTCATATGTGAATAATATTGGTTAATTTGAAGTCATTCCCTCTTCGGTTGCTTTTTAAGTGACATATTGCTGTTCAGCTACAGTTGTGCTCTAGAAAAATGTTTGTCAATTGCTGGTGTCACAATAATACCAACTAACACAATAGCCTTTACTCGGGCCAGCAGCTTTCAACCGATGGCTCAAGCTCTCATATACTCATGATGGTTGCCAGGTTATTGTTGCCCATAGTTATAGAGGTGGAGGGGGTGTGACACTTCCTGAAACAAGAGTTAGAGTAGTTCTACCAATCAGATGAATATCACGCTGCCAGCATCTGCCTGACAGGATACTCAGGACAGGAAACTATTTATTTCTCCCCTATTTGTTTTCTCTTGTCCTAGAAACACCCACTGACACAGCTCTCTCTCTCTCTCTCTCTCTTTTGTTTTAACCATCATGACATTTGCATTGCACATGGTTTCCTGTTAAATGCAAATCAACTGATTTCTGTCTGTGCTCTGGCAGGTGGCACAGGACGAGGCAGCTGCAGCAAGGTGAGATGCTCTCCTGCTTTATTACTGTGAAATACTGCATGTGGGATATGTTGTGTGTGTGTGTATCTCATATTTTTTAAACTGACTTGTTGGGAATATTATTTTTGCAGAGGACACTATACAGATTACATGTTACAAGTCCAAGTGATCTTTTTGACTTTGTGCTTTCAACTGCAGAAAGTAACTTAGTACAGTTACTCAACTGTGCTGTTCTTAAGTAGATTTTTGTAATATATAATATGTAGGAAAAGTGGGTACTTTTATCCCATTAAAATAAATAGTTACCTATTTAGCATATATAAGAAGTGATTAATAAATGGTTTAAAACACACTATACTGCAGTTACAACCAGATATAAGGGCATATATCATGTGGTTTCCATACACCAACGACTTCATAAGATAAGCCTAACAGAACATAAGGCAATATATCTGGTTGTTCTTTTTGTAATCAAACCAGTGGTAAAAAAAAAAAGAGGGTGAAGAGGAATAAAGTAATATTCCACAGCTAGTCAGCCATTGTTGTCAATAAATTTTTATTGTATGGTGATTGAATCGCATCGTACACACCATATCATGCACTATGTCACATTGAGAAAAGGTCATATTGTCCCATCCCAAGTTATTTTACTTTTGCTTCTTTAACATATCACAATATTTCACTTTCACGTACCTAAAATTTCAAATGCAGGACTTTTACTTGTATGTTGAACTTGTGATGTTGTAGTCTGCTGTGAATGTTCACTATGCTCTTCCAAACAACGTGACTGCTCGGGTCTTTTTTCCACAAAATTCAAGATGACTGCTGAACTTAAAACCCAAATCTCTCACCATTTTAAAGCCACATAATTGGTGCAAGGTTTAGAAGCACAGTTCACCAAGCGTTAATGATCTTCAAGAGCTCGGAAGTGGATGCGTAGATTCCTCTTAGGCTCCAGGGTAAACACAGATTGGACGGACAGAATCTGTCTATCTTTCACAAACAACAACACACAAACTAGTCTCCTACTGCTCCCACGCTATGATTAGAGAAACACAACAAACCCTGCAAAACAAAATAACATACTTTTCTGACTTTCTTCAGGTTTAGTTGAGGGATGATCAGCGGAGAACACACACACTTATAGATGCACACACACACTCCACAGCAGCTCAAAGAGGCATACTGAGTCCTTCTCCTTAAATGGTCAAAGCTCCCAGGAGTGAAAGAGAGGCTGTTGCTGAAAAAAGACAGGGATCAGAAGGGACGGGAGAAGGAAGGAGAAGCCCTGAGGATAGAGGAAAAGGCTGAGAGTGACAGTTTGACTGTGGGAAGTCGGTCTGAGTTGGAGGGCTCAGCAGCAGCGTGTGTGTTTCTCCACAGCACTACAGCGGTGGACTCAGGTAATGTCCGTGCCCTCTTTGGACAGGTTTGGGAGGTTGGCTGCAAGGAGCTGTAGGGTCTTACTGGGTGATAATTTTGGGTGCATACATGCAGACTCAGGAGTTGCAAGTCTAGCGCCATCAGTAACTAGGAGAAGAGGATGTGTTTTTGGACTTTATAACAGTTGTCAGTCTGACTTTATAATAGCTGGGGTGAGATTACGTTACTGTATCTAGTGCTTCTCTGGAAGTGAAACTCTGCATCATGTTTCTTTTTCCTTGGTTATGATCACATCAGTGGATTTAGCTGCTTCCTTACCTGACTATGTGTCTCTCTGGCCATCCTGCTGTTTTTCTTTCTCACACTTTCCTGTTACCTCAAATTGCAGTTCTGTAGCAACCACTTCCTCTGAGGCCATGTACTCTGTGTTTCACACAACCAAATTTTAAACAAATTTGGCAAGAGAGAGCATTCTTATGTAACAGAGGAGGGGAGGAGGCTGCCGGTCCCATTGTCTCCCTCTGAGGATAGAGGCGGTGAGGCCTGACTGCAGTGGGGAGTTGAATCTGACTGATGGTTCTGATGGACAAATATGTTTTCTTTAAGAAGGGTAGTGTGTACTTTAAGAGCAAGATTTTTGTCTTTAAGCAGTTGTGGTGTAGGGACTGTCTGCTGAGGCTTGTATGTTTTGTCCTGTTCCCCCCACAGGAAATAATCTGAGTGATTCAATTTCTCTGCAGTGTTTATCTCATGGCCTGGTGGGGAAACCTCCTGCTGTACAAGCTAGCATCTTTTGCTGAGTAATTTTAAAGTGGCGACAGGTTCTTCTGCCTCTGTAAACACTGTCTCGTGGTCTGGTTCAATATTTATTACTTTGCAAGATTCTGTTATCATAAGACATTTAAGCTTGTTGAGCTGCAACAAGTTTTTTGGCTTCCTTAGCAAGACGTTTTTCTTAAAATTGAACTAAAACAAACATGGCAGTATTCTCAAATCATGTTGTTCTCCTTTTTTTGTATAATTGCTTCCCTTTGAAAAATTAAACAGCTGTTCCAGCTGTGGAAGAAGTAGAATATTCCTGTAGGGATAAAACAATTGATTATGCAAAATGAAATTAAGATTCTTGGGTTTAGTCAGTTGTAAAAAATGCAGGTGTTTGCTACCAAAGCTGTGCTGTAGTCCAGAGGAAATTAAATAACTATTCTGGAAATATTCAGTGACTCACTCTCATATTTAAGATGTGCAGTAAAACTGTTCAGCAAAAGATTCATGTTCTTGCTCTTCTCAGTAGCAACATGCAGACAGGTGACAAATGAAAGGAAAAACCAACATAAAGTGTCTTAGTAGAACAACTTCAGTGCACTTTGGCACTGATTCTACAAGTCTCTGAACTCTGCTGGAGGGATGAATGCCATTCTTCCTAAAGATATTCCCCCATTTGGTGTTTTGATGATGGTGGTGGAGTCGCTGTCTAACACATCGATGCAAAATCTCCCGTATGTGTTGAACTGGGTTGAGATCTGGTGACTGCGAAGGCCATAACAAGTCATTCACATCATTTTCATACTCATCAAACCATTCGGTGACCCCTTGTGCCCTGTGGATGGGGGCACTGACATTTGGGAAGAGATCACTTATTTGTCCAGGTTTTTTCTTTCACATGTCACCTGTCTGTATTCACCATCTTAAACTCAGCAGTGTTGTAGTGAAACTGCTTTTTAAAGTATTAAATAGTCTGAAATGCTACTGCAGACCAAGAACGAGAAGTAAATTTACTTCTGTATAACATTGTTCCTGTAGACAGGACATATCCTCACAGCTCTCTGAGAGACAGTTAAACAACCCATTTCCTTTTCAGTGACTCACAGCCTTTGTGTCCCTATATGTTCCCAAGAACATGTCATGTTTGTGATGACACTGAGCAGCACTTTGTAAATTCTGGTTCAGAATTCACTGACCTGCGTAGAGTGCGTGCCATGCTTCTGACATAACTAATTATTCCTCACAGCTTTCACTCACCTGGCTAATATGACTGGAAGCACTGGCAGAACAAAAAGCATAGCCACATCAGTGCTGGTCATATAAATCTTTTTTGTTTAGTGAAACCAAAGAAATGGGAGGGTACAGTACCATCCAGTACTGCCCCCACGCGGACAATAATTTCTGCACTGTGCTCCTTCAAAGGGTTAAATTAGCTGTGCACTTAGATTTGCATAAATTTGTTACTAAAAGGAGGATAGCTGTGAATTCAAACAAAGGTTCAAACACATGTAATAATTAACTAAATTCAGTCCTGTTTCTCTTTATTGAGCCAGTTAACTGCTGCAGAATTGATGACAAACATCAGCTGAAACAGACAGTCACTTTGTTTATTCGTCAGTTGATTAACAACAGTTTTGCTAGTTTAGTAATTGTTTAATTATTTTTAAGCAAAGACAATAAAAACTCACTATTTCCAGTTTCTCAAATGTGAACAGTAAAATGGCTGTCTTTGGGGTTTTGGATTATTGGGTAGACAATGTGTGTTTTTGATGCACAAAATATTCTTCTGCTTTATAACATTCCTATCAACATGTGTCGTATCCACTATCCAGACTTCAGGGGCTTTTCCATTAGAGGAACCTACCAAAATGTGTCGTGCTGAGTAATGCTGGTCATGGGTTCTGTGTTTTGGAGGTAAGGTCCAGGAGCTAAATTTCAGCATCCCTCAAGAGGTAGTACTAAAATCAAGTGCTAGGAACAAGGGGGGTGGGAAAGGGCTGCAATTGGGGAGGGGTTGTATACATGCAGAGCAGTCGCCAGTGATTGGTTAAATGTCCCTGTCTTCACACCTCAGTCATTAGCATTACAAGCACTGTGTGTAAACACACAGCTGACTGCTTATGTTAGAGAAGTGCAACCCCTGCCTCCTCTAAACAGAGACCGACAAAGAGAAAATACAGTGAAAAAATAAAGCAGGACGGTCCGCATCAACCCCAGAGGCTGTGCTTGGTAATGGTTAAGGGAAGTATGGGTTATATCGTTAGGTCCCAATAGTGGAAACGCAGCTTTTGACTCAAATTACAGTAATTTTCTCTGTTTCTTGCCATAGCTAAATGCTGCATTATTTTGTTTGCTGTCTTCTTTCCACTTGATTGGCTTTGTTAGGTTATTTCCTAGTTAGATAGATATTCAGAGATTTGTTGTCTAGAAATGTTAGTGGAGACAGATTGACTAGCTCAGGCTGTTAACTGTTCAGTAATGTGCCTGCAGTGCAGACTGCAAGCAGGTCAAGGTTACAGGCAAAGAGCTGTTAGTGTCAACTGTAATGCTAGTCTTAATATTTGTCTTAATGTGTAGTGTTATGTCAAATTGTTTTAGATACACACCACGAAAACAACAGCCACACACCTTGACTTTTCCTCATGTTTTGGCTAACGTTATAGCCAGCTGCAAAATCTGGTGAGAGAGAGAGACGTCTCGGTTGACGTTTCTGTGGAGGAGGGGGCGAGCCAACTAAGTGATGATATTGTATAGCAATTCTTGGTTCGGGGTCTGATCTGCTTCCGGGCTGCTTGGGCAGCCTGGGGGTTGGAAGATCTCTGGAAATGTAATGTTAATTCTGGCCTGTGACTCTTTGAATAAACCAGCACGGTTATATTTTTTTATATATCCAAGTGGTCTGAGTCGTCCCTCTGAGTTCCTGGTTTGAAAGAACCGGACGAGGCTTTATAATAGTATAGAGCCTTTAGCTTTAAATAACAAAAGCATTCAGTGCAGGCTGTTGATTTGTCCTTTCAGTTTTCATCCATGCTTGTTCCAAATGGCATGTACTCATACCGTATGTGTGTTCTACAAACCCCTCTGACTTTTTCACAATCCCTCGGGATCTCTTTGCCTCAGCCAGACCGTAAGGGCGAGTTACACTGAATGTCCGGTACCAAAGATTTATAACAGCCCAGTGCACCCCAGTCAGTTTGATCCATGTCTGGTCAAAATGTTAACTGTGTCAGTCATGAATGGTATTTATTTGTGTTTTCAGTCACTCAGTGAGTGTTGCTGTTTTTGTTTATTTCTCCATTCACATCTCTCAAAGTATCAAAACACCATAATCTGAGACTTTTAATTTATCTGTTATTCTTCATTTTTCCAAATGAAGGAGCATTAAGTAAACATACTGACTAACTTAAAGGCGCCATATGGTATTTCTTGTAAACAAACTGGAGTTATGTTGACATTCAGTGTTTCTCACCAGTACACGCTGTGTGTCCTTCAGGTCTAATAAATTTGATGAATGCATTTTTTCCCTCATTAAACACTTTCAAAGCTGGTTGTCGGCACATCGCCACGTCCCTTGGTGTGGCACTGTACCGTCACCTGTAGATCAGTGGAATGATGTGAAACAAAGCAGGGCTGTTTGTGGACACTCGAGGTGAGACATTCACTGTTGCTGCTTATGAGACATATAATGATTTGTTATTTTATTCAGCTGAAATAAAATCCTGGTTTGTGTTGGCTGCATGATGTAGTCTGTCATGTAGTAGTAAGGTATGTAAGGTCTACCTTATATTCTTACTGAAAATGACTGCACTGTTACCCTTGTACTCTTGTTTCTGATGAATCAGTAACAGTCGGAGCCTGTTGGAACAATTTATTAATGCTGCTGTTTCAGGACAGTGGAGAATGAAGCTACTTTAGGATTTATTTATGGTGTCACAGTTGTGTTAGTTCCAGCATATCTTTTTTTATCTGTGGTTAGCCATAAAGGACGTTCTTCTGAATATCACCATTCATGTGTAATTTGTTTAGAAAAAAAGATGAGTTGCTTAGTGTTTGATATCTACCTGCAGTTAAAAACAAGTTTCCCTCAACATCTAATGCATTTGTGTGTGTTTATGATCTTGCAGCTTCAGAAAGAAGAGAGACATTTTCTGCCGGCGTCTCCTGCTGATCAAAGTGACCACAACTCCGCCGAGTCCTTTGACGGCCCCTGCGCTGCTGGTAGACCTTTTGTTTTCCCCCGCACCCGCTCCCGCCCCTCACTGCCCCCCACCATGCCCACACTTCCCGAGGAAGAGGAGGACTCGGGCGAGGAGCTGGACAGCTCCTCCAGTTCACCCAGTACAGTGAGTGCACACGCTGTCAGTTTCTGAAGCATTTTGGTTTTGGCAAAAGAAGGCAAGTCCATAAAAGGTGACACTGAATCATTCATTTGGCCCCTGTGAGGAAATGTTGCTTTTGATGACAACTCTCAAAAACTGCGTCCCCTTTACCTTCAAAATGCTTCTTTTTTAAGTCACACACTTGTTTTCCTGTTGCTTAGGCAAACTGAGGCTGAGCTGTGTGCGGAGAGGGAAAAAGTTACTAATGGTACAAATTCTAATTATCATATTAGCATTTGATTTAGTGCATCAAGTTTTTTTGTGGTTTCCTACAGAATGGTTAGGAATGAATCTGCAATTCTGGTGATTTGTGAGTGTTTCATGAGTCCTTGAAGGTCACTTTTCTTGATAAAACAACTATAGCAAAACCACCACCGAGACCTTTAAAAGGAATCATTTTCAGTAGATTTCACCAAAATCAGTTCAGGGTATAGACTACCCTCTCATCATGGAGGTCTTGTTTCTATAAAAGGCAAATGTGTGTTTTTTGATTTGGGGATAAAACAGTTTTCTTTCTAGGCCATATAAATAACTAGAAAATGACTTGACTTCAGGATATTAAAAAGGCTTTATTGCTTGATGAACAGATGGGTCAGCATCAGGGAACATGGGAAACCTTAGCGTGAGCAAGTACCCCATTGGTCAGTTTACCAAAATATACTAAACTTTTTCTCATGTGTGTTTTTGCAGATAGTGTTTGTGTCTGCTCGTCAGAGCACTGTAAACCTCAACAGAAACATGACATTTTGTAAACAGTGGCCATAAACCTCACTGACCTCAGCTTTCCAAAAGTTACATTTCCTGTAACAGTGATTCCAGTAAAATTTGTTCACAGCGAGGTCCAGAATGTTCATGACGTTGTTTCTAGAAAGTTAGATTTTATCGACTTATTTTTAGACAGGGTGTGGCATGATGGCGCAGTGGTTAGCAGTGTCACCTCATAGATTGAAGATTCTGGGTTTGAATCTGCCACTCTGAACTCCTGGGGCCTTTGTATGTTTGCGTGTTCTCCCCATGCCTGTTTGGGTTTACTCTGGCTTCCTCCCAGTTAGGTTAGGTTGATTGGTGACTCTAAACTGGTCATAGCTGCGAATGGTTGTTTGTTTCTTTGTGCCAACCCTGTATTAGACTGGCAGCTTGTGAACCCTGCCTCTCATCCAATGTCAGTTGAGATTGGTTCCAGCCCCACAACAACCCAGTATAGGATAAGCAGTGTAGCTAATGGTTGGATTGACTTTTTAGATTCTACAGATTCCACTCACCCACATTGCACCGGGGAGGCAGTAGAAATATTAGAGGTGACTATCTCAAAACCAAAACTATCTGTAGGACTAGATACCAGTAAGAGTGAATGGAAATTTGCACAAATGTTTGTGATTTGGGTGAAATTAAATCTGAATATCAACATTGTTAGAGGTTTTATGAACAATATGAAGAGCATATACTTGAAGTGGACATATTCAGAATTTGATTCATAAAATGTCCTGCAGTTTTAAACAGTCATCGGTCTCAGTCCTTGGAGAACATTGTCTTCCACTGCATACACACACAGCCGAGATAAGACATCTGTGCACAATGTAATGAAGCTGTGTAATCTAATCTTCAGGGCATATGCCAACACTATAAAAGTATCCCCATTTACTGCAGTACAGCTGTAGTCTTTCTGCAGCCTGTCTGCAGTGTTACCGTCAGAAGGATTCCTTTTATAAGAACTGTAGTGCAGAGATAAGCTCTGAGAGGAGCTCTTAAGGAATTAGTGCTTGATCCCAGGCTGCGTTTACCTGCATATTTACCTTTAATAGACAAAATTTAAATTGAATGGACTTTTACTCCAGAAGCTGTGGACTATACACAAACTTTGGGTTATATTAAATGTAATTTATCTCAGTGCTGATTTATTCTAATTACTTTTGTTTTAAGGTCATTTGTACACTTTCTTAAGTCTCTAGATGTCTTTAGGTATTTGGGAGTTATTTAGTGCCTTGATTTGAGACTGAGACTGAGACTGGGAGGAATTTAGATCTCCAGCCAGAGTCAAGTAGTTCATGACCTGCATCTTAAACCCCTTACCCCTGAGGTCACAGTTCTAATAAATGTCTGATCCTTGGTGCTTGAGAACTTGACAATGTATAGCGAAACTTTGCTGCTGAAAAACTCACTCTAGGGGCCTGCCTGAACAAACTACATGCCTGTTTTTTATCAGAAAATACTTAGAGGAGACTCTTGTTTAAGTGAGCATATGGTACCCCTATTTACCACATTTTTATTATAACCAGACTTCCGTAATCCTAACCTCAGTATTGTAGTGTCTGTTGAACCACACATTATTTACAACAAAAGTTGAAGTCATCATCCTGGTGGATGCAAATATTCTGTGTACAGAGTGTCTGTTGTCAAGGCTGGACAAAGCTGCAACTTCCCCCAGCATCCCAGACCCTGAAGGCCCCACGTTCACTGTTTGTGATCATTTTATTAATTGCTAATTTATTTGACAATATGTACCACTGCAGCAACATACACAGTAAATTACATTTTTACCCAACCTTGTGGCCATGCTGAGGGGCCTTGTGTCACAATCTAGTGTAAATACCTTTATTATGTCATTTATATTACAATTATGGCTCATTTTCTTAAAAAAAGGCTGTGTCATATTACCACAATGGTATGTGTATTGTGTTTAATGAGTAATTAAATGCAGCATAGGGCATACAGTGTAAAATGCACAGAGCGAGAGGAACCAGTGGTCAATCAAGGCCCCACAGTGTGTTAATCCAGCCCTGCCTTCTGCAAATGTTCTTCAGCTTCATTATATCCATATCAGGTAAATGAAAGGTGAATAAATGAAGTGTCAGTGTAACTTTGTTTTAACTCTGACGCTCATGTTTTGTGTGTGTGTGTGTGTGTGTGTGTGTGTGTGTGTGTTTTTTGGCACAGTCTGTGCCAGGTGAAAGCCAAGCTGTTATCATGACCGCCCCCAGCATTGTCTACCCACAACAGGCCACTGTTGTCCAGCATGATGGACATCATCTGGAGCAGAGCAGGTAATCATCCACCATCTCAAACACTAAAATTGTTTTCTTGCATTTAGACAATGTGACTGAACCATTACTGTTTCCATTCTCAGGCCGCACAGTCCCAGGTCTCGCCTGGCCAGAAACTCTTGGGGAGGTCCCCTCACCACAGTCGGTGGGTAAATGCCCACATGCCTGATATATTTTTGCAGCTTTGATTGCTTTTAATGTTTAGCTGCTTTCCCTTTTCTGAGGAAAAGAAGAGATGAAAACAATTGTGACTTGGCCAACCCTCACCACCTGATGTATTGGCTAACCACCTGTGAATTATTGCTTGTCATGAGATTTTAGACAAAGGAATCTCTCTTAAATATCCTTGCATCATGAAACACAGAAACAGAAGCAGACACTGTCATGGTTCATGGACTTGCTTCCTGTTTTTTTTTTTTTTTGTTTTAAACAGGAAGCTAGTCCGTGAACCATGACAGACAAAAAGCTGATGTATTTATCAGCAAACACCTACTAATTAACATTGCTATTTGTCTATAAATGCATTTTGTTTGCTTGTATCTTGACAGCGAAATGTAGTAGTGTAGGAAAATAATGAATTGGTACGTGTGTGTATGTATATGTGTGTATCACATGGGTTGGTGGGGATTGTGTGTGTACATGTGTCTATTGTCTTTTACAGACAGCACAGGCAATGTGATCGACCTGGTGAAAGATCAGCTGCCGGAGCTGCAGCTCTCTGAGGAGGACAGACAGAAGAACCTGGAGCTGCTGGAACAGGCCAAGAAAGTCAGCGACCGCTTCCTGACACGCCGTGGCCGCCGCAGCACCAGCAGCCTCACCGACTCGCCCGCAGGTGGTTCAGGCACAAACACACGTGCACACACAGACAGCCCTGGACATAACACATGATATCTTAAGTATTGTTGGTGTTGAATGGTGAGAGATCACATGTTGTCTAAGGATGTATTCACTTAAATCATTCCATTTGAGTGTTTGTGGTGAACTCATAACTTTATTTGATAAAGATTATCACTATCACTATTATCACTGATCTAAATGAGGAATAAAATTTACAGATGTTTTTCTGCACAGGTCTTTCTCCACCTCCAACATCCTCACCTTGTTCATCTAGTAGCAGCTCACTGTGGCCCCCGTTAAATGATTTACTCTTTATCAATTTTTCACCCTCTTTTTTCTGACTTTTAGCCCATGTGGACTTTGAGAGAATAATTTTGTTGGTTGTTTTCTACTCTTTCAGCTGCAGGACCCTCAGAGTCAACCCATGTCAGTTCACAGTCTGTTAGTCAGGTAAAGAAATTATTGTTGGTAAAAAAAAAAAAACTACACTGTGACATGAGGTATAATGTTGATAATCATTTAAAAGTATTAAAACTGTAAATAGCAATGTTCATTTTTCATTCATTCATTGTGTTTTTAAATGTTGCTCTGGGTTGTTGCCTTATGTAAATCACTGTCTTGCCTTAACTATTACAAATTAGTCCTACCTGATTTTAATGTAATTAATTACTCAATACTTTCTGGTCTATTTGATCAAGCAAATTTGCTATATTTTGTCGTCTTGTAGTATCTGGATGTTCCTTCAATGCGAGAACAACCTGATGTAACAGCCCAAGACCAAGAGGTCAGATTAACACGCTCACTTTGCATTTTATTGACAACCATATTGTTGTCTAATGCGCAACAACAATATGACACATAAAACATATAAATGCTGCACAACTATTACCTTGAAATATAGTGCACACATTCATGCCACCCAGTGGATGAATTCCAGTTGCTTTGATCCCCCTGACTTTTCCTCTAGCTCCAGATTTTAATGTCTGATGAAGGCGTTGGCAGTGTGCGGGAGTTCACTACATTTTTCTGTTGATACGCATCTGTAATTCTCATGCTACAGGCTTGTTAACACATCAGGAATACTGCAGTGAACCTATTATTATTAGTCATTATCTTACTAACCTCAGGGCAGGTCGCTGGTGGACTGGAAGCCCACAGACAAAAGGAAAGTGTCCTCTGGGAATCTAACGCCCCGCTTTGCTGTTCAGAAGGAGATCTGTGATCCTGCTGTACCTAAGAGTCCTCCAGCAGTCAGTAAAACAGATGAGGGAGCTGGTTCAGGCCGAAACCCCAACCAGACCCCAGCCACAGGAGTGGCCAAACCAGTCCCCCGACCCCCTACACAACAGGCCCCCTGTACAGCAGAGATCAAGATGATCGGTGCCTTCCCTCCGCTAATGAGAGCTGTTTCCTGGGATGCTGTAGGCAACCTTAATTCTAGAAATGGTGTCCCAAGTTTCCCTCCTACAGCGGAGGACACTTTCTCAGACAAGCCCAGGGATGCTGTCTTTAAAGCCTCGGGGTACAAGGACCTCCCTGTCCAGCCGGGGAGTGTACAGAAGTTGTCTAAACTCAGAGAGGTAAAGCTACTGCCAGCATTCACTCTTTTTATTTTGAATTGTTCTTTTGGAAACATAACGCTTTGCTCTTATGTGTGTTTGTGTATATAGGAGCACAAGTTGATGCGTAACCAGAGCATAGTGGGATCCAAGTTACCAGACTTGAGTGAAGCTGCTGAACAGGAAAAAGGTAATAAGTCTTTGTTTGACCTCCAGACATAAAGTACTTTTCTGCAGTGCATTCAGCAATTTCGTCAAGGGTGTACACTTCCTGAATCCCAGAGAAAATGTGTTCCTCTCAGAAAATGATGATGATCTCTTCTTGTGTTGCTTCCTCTGTACCACCCATTCACTGGCAACCTTGTAGCAAAGAAAGAAATGCTGATTTCCTTTTTTATCAGCAGATGGCATGATTGTTAAAGCATGTGACCCAAAGTCTATCTAATGAAATGAGGAAAGGATTTCATGTATTTCTATATTTTGGAAAAGAGACAGAGCTATAGAATTGACTTAAGTCACCAAAATTAGGACTTGAGAGTTTGAACTAACTTTGAGTAACGGACCTTACTGAATAAGTTCATTGTTTCAGTAACACAGTGGCTGTTGTTGAAGAAGAGTCTCATTTTAAAGCCATGCAAGTTTACTAGCACAAAAGGACTTGAGACATGACTTTAAAACTTTCTCATATTACTTGAGATTTGACTCACACAGGTATCTGGAAAGAGACTGTGTAATTTTCTCGAGGTCTTATTTATGCAGCAATGTGTCTGCAGGTGCTCAGCCCTCTCGGAACTCAACCAGCAGTGAGGAGGCCAAGGAGAATTCGGATACCATGCCGAATATTTCAGATGTGATGCTGAGAAAGCTCAAACTTCACCGGGGTCTGCCAGGCTGGTGTGCGACAAACCAACTGCTGCATTAACATTTAGCTTTTAACTAATAGCTAATAACACACCTCGCTTACATTGTGTATGAATATGTACATTACTTACCTTACTAACAGTTCATCTCTGATGTCATTCCAGTGCACTCCCACTCACTGAAAAAGAAGTTGAGGTTGGTATTGGATCTGTAGACGTTGTTGAGTGATTTTCACACTATGTTTTGGCTGAAAATGAAGATATGCAGTCATAAAACCATCTGAATTACTCCCATTCATGATTATGTACTTGATCCATGCATGCTGCAGACAGTCAGTTTCTTTGATCTGTAACTTTGTTTTCCTGTGTGGTGCTTTGCTTATGCTCTCTGTTGTTTGATATTTTGGGAAGTTACTTTTATTTGCTTTCTTGCCAAGAGTTACATGAGAAGTTTGGTGCCACTGTATGGAGCATGCTAGCTTATCTTAGCATAAAGGCTGAAAATAAGGGGAAAGCCTGTCTCTGTCTGAAGGTGAAAAAGCCACCAGCCAGCACCTTTAATTCAGTCAGTCAGTCACACCCGTCAACAGATACTTCACAAGATAAAGGAACATGGTTGAGACTAACACAGTAAAATAATAAAATGATTATTTTATGATTATTACAAAAAGTATAACATAATAATAAAACAAGCAATAAAATTAGAATTTTACTGGATTTAATTAAAAGCCAAATTAAACAAGTGCATTTTAAGATTCCTCTTAAAAGTTTATCTGTTGCTCTAAAACTATCAGGAAGTCAGTTCCACTATTTGGGACCATAGTAACTGAAAGCCAATTCTCCAGATTTGGATTGAATTGTAGGGATAGCTAATAAATCATTATGGGATTATTTGAGCGATCTGGTTGGAACATACAGTATCTTTTGAACAAAGTACTGAGGTAAACAGGGGGAGGGGCCATGGAGACATTTAAAGACTAAAAGAAGCACCTTAAAATCTAAGGCACAGGTAGCCAGTGCAGAGACAAGAACTGTAGGGGTGTGGTCTCTCCTCTCAGTCCAGGTTACAATTCTTGCAACCATTACTCTTTACCCTTTGTAGGTGTGCAAGTAAATTTCTCAACAGACTGGACAAGAGGCTATTACAGTGATCCAGTCTTGTGAAAACCAGGGCACTAATTAACATGTTGCTTATACACATAACTCCCATTGCTTGTTTTCATTTTCAGGAGATGTGGTGTGTTAATTAGAGAGTGCTAGTAGGCAGATTTAGTTGTCTTTGGAAAGGCAGGCTAGCAAAAGCATTTACTTACTATTGTACTTAAACTGTTAAGTAGCAAATAAAAACTAAGATTTATGTCAATTTAATATACTCATTTCTGCCTTCAAGTTGATCCACAGTGATTAAATGTGTACTTCAGCCATAATGCTGTACGTCGGCCACTGGGCTGCCAGCAGTATTCTGTTTGCTTTGAGCAGTAAATTGAGTTCAAAAGTTGTTCAAACAGTGGAGGTGGATGTATTGTTCCACTCAGTACTGAACATTTGCCATGTGCAGTTCCATGTTTATAATAACCTGCTTTGTTACCAGAGCACTTAATTACATAGACGTAAAAATTGGCTGCCTGGATTTAGTGAAGTTCTGTCAACAGGAAAATGTTTTCTGTTCCTAATCAGAAGAAAGAGATTCAGAGTGACTTCCTGTGGAGAAAATTCAAACATTGGTGACGCTGTCAGGCTCAGGCTGTCGCCTCTCTCGCTGCTCCCTCAGGGATGCATCTGGCTCAGGACAGCCAGAGGTCATTTGTTTCCTCTCAGCCATGGCGCGTGCATGTTGTAAATCTGTGCAGACTGGCTTTGATCAACATAGCAAAACATCAGGATGTCAGAGTTAGACTCACTGCTTGTTCCCCAGGCTCATGTCAGGGCTGCTTGAGTCTCCTTGACATTAACCAAAAAGAATGTATATTAGTATTACCTAAACAACCACCTGCCTCTCATTTAGCCTCTGTACGTGCGTGTGCTGTACTGTGGGAGAGTTTTTTTTTTTCAGATTTATTATGTTATTGCTTACCAGTTATGTTATGTTGCCGGCATCACAGCTCATCTGTGTTTAATGTGTTGTTTGATGTGCTTTTCCGGGTGTTATATTGTGGTAACTTCCTACCCGCAGAATGCATTTGTCCAGCTGTCACTGGCATTTCGTAATGACAATTACACTCTGGAGACACGGCTCAAACAGGCAGAGCGGGAGAGGAACCTGACTGAGGAAAACACTGAGAAAGAACTAGAAGAGTTCAAAGGAGCACTTAAGGTTGGTCCTCGAAAACAGCACCTGATATTTCATTACTCAGCTGAAGGAAGAATTCCCTTTGGCTTTTTAGTGCTCATTCATGTGCTTACTGTTTCCTGGAGGTGCCCCTCAGTTAATATCTAGTTTGAGTCCAAAACCTGATACCAAAGGCATATTGATGCACATTTTGTTTTCCTGAGAGAATTGTAACAAAATTGTGTTTCTTGCAGGTGACTGCACCACAGTGGCAGAGCATGGAGCAGCGTGAAGCCTACCAGCGGCTGGTAGAGACAGTGGCAGTGCTGCACCGCCTGGCCACACGACTCTCCAGCAGAGCAGAGGTCGTTGGGGCAGTTCGACAGGTGGACTTACACAAACACATGCAAGTGACAGTGCAAACCTAGAGCAGGGCGGTTTAGTGTAAATATAAAAAACATCTTATTGTTTGAATGCGGTCTATTTCAGGTTATCTCGGGGTCACAGAAATTCCTGTTTGGCAAATTGAAACATTTTATGGCTGACGTTGTGCAAACAAAGCAAATATTAGAAAAAGAACAAACGTAGCTAGATATTTTTCTCATAAGTTGGGGGAGAACATGCCATTAAATTTTTTTTCTTTAAATAAAATTGGACTTATATTTTTTGGGTTTCAAACAGAGGTTGGGGTTGTGTCTGTCAGCCTGTGGAGGATCTCCTCTGTCCCCTAGTGGCCAAAAATCAATTGATTCAGCCTGAAATGACATGTTTATAGTAACTTTAAAAAATCAGTGAGCTGGTGAGTGTCAGAACTCAGATGTCAGACAGCCATGAGTTTACTGAGATCCTCCATCACTCTAAGAAATCTTTGGTTGTTTAAAAATTAATTTCAGAACTCTTGCAAGAAATCTGCCAAAAGCCAATTGGTCAAACTCAGGTTTTCTCACCAGAAGATGCTGTTTATGTGCTCCTACATTGTAACGCAGACTTGTATTGACTGACTTCTTCATTATGCGACAGGAGAAACGTATGAACAAAGCCACTGAGGTCATGATGCAATATGTTGAAAATCTGAAGAGGACATATGAAAAGGACCATGCAGAGCTGATGGAGTTTAAGAAGCTGGCCAACCAGAACTCCAATCGCTGTTATGGAGGGTCTGTAGATACTGGAGGTAAGACTGCACATTCAGATCGGGTGCAGGAGAACAGGGACTCTCAATCAATCTGAACTCAATCAACCTGACATTACATTTTTTCTTCTGCAAAGGGTTTCATGCTTGTAAATAGGAAGTATTTTTACATTTATTCAAGCAAAGGTGTGTTAAAGCATGCACCCTACTAGCTACTGTGGCTAGAATGCTGTGTCACTGAGCAGTTTCACTGCAGCTTTGGGGACAATGCCAGCATGAAAACAATCATTTACCTGAGCTTATGAATGCTGTAATAATATTGTGTAAATCTGTGTTTTGTTTTTCTTTGTAAAGATGATGGAGTTCCACGGCCGTCACGATCCATGTCCCTAACACTTGGAAAGGTAAGCAATAAGGTCTTAGTTATAATAGGTAAAAAACAACAAAGATAATCAGTTATTCAGTCAATCAGTACTAAAATAATAAAAGTTGTGGTTAACGCAGCACAAAGTGCAGTGGTTGCTGATGGATATTTCATTAGTTTTCAAATTTTAAAGTGACAGTGGCACTAGAGCAAAAGTTGTGATCACCAAAGCTATGTTACTGCATTTCTTTCTGAAGGGAGCATGAATATGTTTAACAAGTTCCACAGTAATTCATCCAAAACCTTCTGAGATATTTCACTCAAATCTACAAGCTCACGATGTTGCTAGAGGAAAAGGTCAACGGGTTAACAAAGTCATTAGGATTCATACTTTGGAAATCATGAATGTCTGTACAAAATTTCATGACTCTGTCTACCCATCCAGCAGTTGCTGAGCTAATTCATTCTGGACCAAAGTGGTGGACTGACCAACAAACCAACATTACCATCCGTGCAGCTATGCCACTAGTGTGGCTACAGATGTCCTTATGGTCATCAACTGTTTTTGATGCTCTTCTATGTGTCTGTCTCTTGTTTAGGTGGTCTCATCATGCCGTTGTAGATGTTAATGTCCAGAAATGTAACATCCCCGATTTTCTATTCTTACCACTGACACTGCTGCATGTTGTGTCCTGGCTAGGCTCTGCCCAGACGCAGGGTGAGTGTAGCGGTGGTGCCTAAGTTTAACCTCCTGAACATCCCAGGTCAGACCCCAGTCACAGCTGGCACAAGCCCCAACGCAGGACCCACCCCTGGGGCTGCTCTTCCTGTCGTGGTAGGTCTTCCTGTCCTACAGGAAATTATAGGAAATGACATTTAATGAAGTGACACTCACTCTGTCAGATGGACCATGGAATTATAAGTAGAATAATTCGGAAACAAATTTAGGAGTTATCTTAGCCTATTGACATATAGATGACATCTTTTTAAGGACAGAATTATTTCTTGCTTTTTAAAATTAATAAATAGTGTTTTGAAATGTAAGTCCTCTGTTTCATATTGTATATTTACCGATTACAAGTACTTAATTCTACTCCAAGTCATACAGCTTTATTAATTGCCAGTAAATGACAAGAACTACATACAGCAGGAGGGTTTTTTTGTCTTTCCTACCAAACTAAGAATCTAACACTCCCTCAGATTTATCTTTGGAAGGACCTGAGTTCTAGGTTGGGAGTCAATGGACAAAACTACCCGACTGTACATGTTCTACCTTGACAAGCTGCAACAATAAAATGCTGCTTAACCTAATAATGCCATATATAATATGATAGCACTCACAGCGACCATATTCTTGATTAGTTTTGCTACATGTACATACATTATAGGTGCATTTAGCTAATAATACCTAGGTAATAGGATAGACATGAAAGGATATGAATATAGGTATCATGCCTGTTAATTGTGTGTCATTGTTCAAAGGCAATAATATTCTTCAACTCTCGCCTCTTTAGTGTGAAGTGAATGATGCCAAAAGCAGTGTGACACAATCAGCAGCTGAATGGTATGTTTTGCTGACACACACATCACACTACGCGGTCAGTACCATTGCTTGATTCTCAAGGTCACTTTACTGTCCTTGAAACAATGGGCCATGGAATGTCCAGAACTACTAATCATTCTTATCAAAAGCATATTCTGTTGTCAGACCTTTGGCTTGTTTGTGCGACCTTTAGGGTTTGTTTTTACAGTGCAGAGAATGCCCCAGTGTGGTGGCCACAACCCTGAAAGCATGAAAAGATAGCCAAACCCTGCTGCAGCTGATGGATATGCTGTCCGGGGTTGTAATCTAAACATTTGTGCAATAGTTTGACAAAGTCCAGACTCTAGGTTCCAATAATATCCTAGTTATATAAAGTGAGCCTGAGTAGAGCTCTCAAGTGTCTGAGCTAGATGTTCTGTGATGAGATGAGAATAGCAATAGCAACCGTGTAAAGTGCTAGCTCCATTTTTATCTGTTTGTATTTGCCATGCCTGTGATGGTGTCACTAATGCATAATACCACACAGCCAGTGCTCCAGTTTGTCCATTATAAGAAAGGCCATGGTGTCGTGATAAAATCTAAATGTACGCTGCTCTCAGTTTTATAATGCCTGCTGTGAGAATGTCCA